CGCATGACCAGCGACCTGGTGTACCACATGCGCTCGCACCACAAGAAGGAGTACGCCATGGAGCCGCTGGTCAAGCGGCGCCGCGAGGAGAAACTCAAGTGTCCCATTTGCAACGAGTCCTTCCGGGAGCGCCACCACCTCTCCCGGCACATGACCTCCCACAACTGAAGGGGACACCCCCCTCTTGCCTCTCCCCAGGGCATGGTGACAGAGCCACCCTCCCCGGAGCCAGACGGACTGGGATGGTCCTCAGCCCAGCGCTGGTGTCTTCTCCAGGGCTGGATTGGATCCCAGTTTTCCAAACTGATTGGGGGTGTTTCAGAGACCAGCTGGGGGAGTTACTACCTTGGAGCCAGCTTTCCGCCTCGCCTGGAGCGCCTCTCCCCAGTTTTTGTTTGTGAGCAACCCACTGGAGAGGCTAAGGCCAGATCCCCGCTTGGCAAAAAAATTGGCTTAGCTCCATTGTCTTCTGTGAAGCGATGATAATTTACATCCGTGGTGTCCAACCCGCTCTGTAGTGGCTGCTATAGCAAATTAGCCATGTTATTCTGAAAGCTAGCCACATTCTTCCGAAAATGTAAATAATTGTTGTGAGCCAACTGGCCACACTCCACCCCTCCAATAGCCACATGTGCTTAGCGTGTTGGACACTGCGGATTTACATCCTCCCAAAGTCTCTCTGGTCCTTGATTTTCAGAATGCAGAGGTGCCTAGGACTTTCTGAAAATCAAGCCTTTTTAAGGATGAAGCACCCCCCAAATCAATAGTCACTTTTGAAAGTTCAGGCCCTTGCACATGTTTACCTTGCAAAATACCAGACCAAGCAAGGAAAGGGTTGGATATTTTTCCTGTCTTCTGTTTGAATGCACGCATTTTCACTTTCCCAAAAAAATAAATAAAAATAAAAAATAACTTTAAAAATAAAGTACATTTTTAAAATGTCATATATTGCAACATATTGATGCATTTGTCATACCTTTCTACTTAAATTATTAAGCACTTATGGTTTAGATGTAATAATTATATGTAAGGGTAAATTTTTATTTTAGATATAAAGTAAAAAAGAAAGGAGGATGCAGTGCTTTCTGCATTATTTGATGACAGTTTGTGTTCTTTAAAAAAAAAAAAAAAGGACTTAACTCTATTTAAGTTTCCAGCGGGGAAGTGCATGTATCATGACCTGATTATGGGCTTCAGTGCAGAATGTCCTCAATTCTGTAAATATGTATTTCCTTTTAATACAAAGTGTAATTTTGTGCCAGTGAAATGAAGTCTGAATAGTTATGTGTTTCTTTTTTTTTCCCTTAAAAAGATTTTATTCAACTTTATAGTTTATCTGGGTATGTTGGATGCTTTGACAATAAATGACTTTATTTTCTTCAAAGCACTTGGAGGTTGAGAAGTACTTATTTAGAAAGTGACCTATCTATGTACTGGGTGAAAATGCTAATGTTATTTACTATAAAGGATAAACACATCTGCATTGAAATAGTGGGCAAGAAAAATAATTCGGGGTATATTAAGCTTTCTGGGATAGGTGCCTTGTTTCTGAGCACCGTCTAATTAAGAGGGGTTAGATACAGCAATGTTGTGCCCCAGTGTGAGGAGATACACCGCTCCAGAAAGCAACATCTGATTGCCATTTTGAAACATTGTGCTGATGTGTTGAGCTTCACGTTCAAAGGACAAAACATTTAGACAAGCATGCCTGCCATTTAGCTGACCCTTAGATGTCAGCTTTCTTTTCGGCCGCGATGTAATTAGCATCTTCACAAATGGCTGGAGACAGATAATTTTTATAACTCGATCTATAAGGAGGGCTTAATTTTTGTGGTACACTCTGCGTGCCTGTGTAGGAATGACTGCAACATTTATAACCCTCTATCATGGCCATTAGGAGGTCTGTTGGAAAGCCTTTTAAAAGGCACCAAATTCATATGCCTTTAAGGCTCGCGCTGGCCTGGGATCTCTGCAAACAGTTTTGTTCGAGTACAAAGCCTGATTTGGAAAAAAGCCACTGGTGCTGAATGACAGCCTAGTAAACACAGCCCTGGCACCGCACTGTGATGTCCTAGGAAATGTGTTTACTAATACTCCCCGGAAAGAGAGAATACTGCATTCAATCGCCGTGAATCGTGTACTGAAGATCTCCAAAATGAACTGATTGCCCATCTTTTAAAAACCCACATTATTTGTTTAAAACTAAAAAAAAAAAAAAAGGACAAAAAATCCCAGGTAGGAAGGCGAGACTCATTCAGCAAATGGGGTTAATCGGAATACTTGAAATAACTTTACCGTGACTATGCTGTTGTGCTGAGCATATAGAAAAATACACGGCCAACTGTCCCTCCTCCTCACTGTCACCAGTTACATTATTCTGCCTCCCCTGGCAGACCTCTCGCGATCCGGAATGGGACCTGGGAAAACGGCGGTTTTGTAATATACAATGGCGAGGTGAGGTTTTTCAGGGCGAGAGTTTTGCCATGAATTATATTCCTGGAAGCCTTGACGCAGTCCCTGCGGCCACTATGCACATTTCACTCACTTCGGAAAGATCTCAACCCTTCCGTGGCATTGCCACATCTTTTCGAGAAGTGAAAATAAAACGGTCAAGCATCGCAACTCCAGATTCGTGGAGACAAGATCGGGTTGGCCAAATTAAGACCGAATCCAACCGCTTTAGGTAGCAAACAAAGGGCGTAAGTGGTGTTTTCCCCCCTTGAATTTACTCTTCATCATACAACCAACTCCTGCCCTTGCGCAGGACAGTTTCCTTTGTATCCAGTTGTGGCTATGACTTTGGCCTCATTGCTTTGGTGAGAACCTCCTGGGCGTCAAGCTAGGGGCCCTACCAACAATTTCGCTGCCTCCGCGTTGGCTCTTTTGTAGGCAAAGTATGACTGCAAGGGCTTGAGCCCAACCCGGCTGAAATGAGTCCATTGACTGTCCGTGGGCTGTGAATCAGACGGTGGTGTGGACAGAGCTGCTCAAGACCTAGAAGATACATTGGAATCCTTGGGAACGTGAATCGAACTCTGCCAACCTTCGCTCCGGCGTCATGTAAACGATGGTAAAGCGGGTTGCATTTGTAAACCAGGGTAGAATTTGCCCCCCAGATCGGTGACGGACGCAATCGTGGGGGATTGAAGAATGCACAGAACCCAGTGACGTGTGTGTGTGTGGGGGGGGGGAGGGGGGTTCAAGAAATACAGCATGTAAATTTGAATGTAGGATTCAAACGATCTCTTTCCTTCCCCTCCCGTTTATTTCCCCCTAATATTTGGATTCGGCACCACCGGATCAGAGAGCCCCCGGTGCCCCTTTCCCAGCCGCAAGACTCGCTTTGCACGGAACAACTTTCATTAGCCTCGCCATTGGAGCAAAAGCCATGCGAGGGTGGTTGCAGACCGAGCTGTGAGGGACTCGTTCCCAAGAGAGACGCTTGACACCAGCCCACAGCGGGTGGGCAGATCCCAGCTATGCCTCCAGTTTGCGCCAGAGGGAAAGTAAGAGCTCGAGAAGAACCCCCTAACACCCGCAGAAGTCTTGGTTTGGTCCAATAGTGGCAATGTGTGTGTGTGTGTGTGTGTGTGTGTGTGTTCTGATTCGACACTCCGAAGTTCAGCACGGAGTGTCATTCGGTTTTACACACACAGCTAGAGCCGCCTGTTTCTAGACCATTGCAGGTTAAGTATAAATGGCTCATCAACTCACCATCCCCGCCCCGTTGTATTCTAGTCCTTTGTGTATACCCGTTAGAAATGGAAAACACCACGCAAAAGAGAAACTGTCCGCTCTCTACATCATTCCTTAGCGCCCAGTTTCATTTCTCACACTGCCACCTGCACGCCCCCATACGGCTAGGGCGCTTTCAGGCCGTTCCTCGGTGATCAAGCAAGGGCCCGATCCTGCAGTTCGGTGAGTCGTGAACTCCCTTTGCTGGGACTGCTCTCGATTAGGTTTGCACACTACAACGCCCCCCTTTCCTGGAGAGAAATATGTAGCGCCCCCTGCCGCCTCCCCCGCCGGCCAATTCTGTCAATGACACGCGTCAACTAACTTCCCCTTTCCCAGCACTGGAAAAAGCTTGGATGAAAACCTGACGGAATAGTACTCAGTGGCCAAATTCCTGTTGACTTCAGTGGGTGGGACCAGGATTTCACTCTCCTCCCTAGCTCAGCCCTAGCCACAGATCTGTCTGATTGTCGTTTTTTACCCAGGCCGAGTGATTTCCAGGAGTGGATCTCCTTCTCTGACCAGCGCCATCCCCCATTGCCCTGTATTATTTCCAATCCCCCCCACCCCCCGCAATGGGTCCCTTCCCAAACTCACTGGACACTGTTTCGCGGTGGTCTTGCTGTAGAACACACAGAAATACAACTCTGAGCCCATCTCCCTGTCGGGAGAAAACTAGTTCTGTGAAACTGATGTATCGCCAGCTTTTTCTATTGAGCACAGTTGCTGGCTTGACTGAGATCTGGTTACTTCTAAAGTAGGTGAAAAAAAAAAGCTAGCTCCGCATTCCCTAGCTCCGCATAGAAGACTCTCCTTCCCAAAGTTCTGGACAAAGTTCTGCTCTGTAATTAGGCACCAAGGCAGAAGGGTTGAATGGACTGAAATAAATGATCGAAATGAAACGACTCACCCAGGAAAAGGTCTAATGGGAAGATCCCGGCGCTGCAAACGGTCGTCTCTTTCTCCCCTCCCCCCCTTTAAAAATCCACTGGGCACTCAGCATTTTTCATTCAACATTATCAATAACATTTAATATGAATCCCTATTCCTCCCAGGTTAAAACCGGCACTGTCCGCTTGTTTGTGGTCCAACCCCTGGCACGTTCCTACCTAAAGAGAAACAAAAAACAGGACTATGTAGCACTTTAAAGACTAACAAGATGGTTTATTAGTTGATGAGCTTTCGTGGGCCAGACCCACTTCTTCAGTGGGTCCAGCCCACGAAAGCTCAACACCTAATAAACCATCTTGTTAGTCTTTAAAGTGCTACATAGTCCTGTTTTTTGTTTCAGTTACACCAGACTAACACGGCTGCATTTCTATCACTATTCTACCTAAGGAGGACACTGAAAACTCGCTAATGCAACCAGACACGTCCAGCTCTGAATGCTGCAGCCGCCAAGCAGAAGACAACAACAGCACCACATTAATGTTAATTAAGCAGGAGTAAAATGCTAACCCGAGGAAGCTTGCTTCTTGGGGACTTTACTTTGCCACGCTCTTGAAAAATTCGCGCAAAAATTCGTACGGTGCCGCATTTATCCATTGGCGTCTGCTTCACTGTTAGAATTGGGGCAGCTGTTACAAGATGCGTTTACCCTGGGACATACTGTGATTCGCACGTTGCTTCATTTCCCCCTTCAAAACCTCCTTGCGTTTTCTTTTTAACTCTATGCTCTTTCCCGGGGGTGCTATATGTATTAAGGTGAGCAGATAAGACCATACTCCAAATACAGGACATTGTGAAAAGATATCTGCACAGGCAACAGCTTTCAAAGTTTAGGCCACCAAAGAAAAGTGGTCACTCTCCTTCCTGTAGAATAGTGATAGAAATGTAGCCGTGTTAGTCTGGGGTAGCTGAAGCAAAATGCAGGACAATGTAGCACTTTAAAGACTAACAAGATGGTTTCTTAGATGATGAGCTTTCGTGGGCCAGACCCACTTGTCCAAACGTGCAGTGTGCATGAGGGATGGATGGGAAAGAAACTGAATGGATGTAAAATAAAGTGCATTTCCTAGAAAAGTCAGGGAGGGTGATGGAGAACACATTAATAACATAGGTTAAGATTTCAGTCACTCTAGTCTCTACAGCTTTCCATTGGTTCTGTTTCTAGTGTCCGAAGAGTACATCGGATGTGTTCTGGATTAGAACGTGCAGTGTGCATGAGGGATGGATGGGAAAGAAACTGAATGGATGTAAAATAAAGTGCATTTCCTAGAAAAGTCAGGGAGGGTGATGGAGAACACATTAATAACATAGGTTAAGATTTCAGTCACTCTAGTCTCTACAGCTTTCCATTGGTTCTGTTTCTAGTGTCCGAAGAGTACATCGGATGTGTTCTGGATTAGATTGCACCCCCCCCCCCCCCCACCATTGAAAGGAGTGGGGTGCACAG